GTTTATAACATTAATTATTTTTTGCCGCATTGTTCCATTACAGCCTTTAACCAGGGCTGTTCCATACGGCGAATAAGCACATAAGAATGCTTGGCCACAAGTGAGATTTCCACGAACTTTAAGTATGTCACTGCATCCACTGATGTTCAATCCCATTTTTATATAGTTTTCGTCCTCGTCCGCTGTATCTATCTTAGATCTCATGAACCTGTTTAAGTTACATATTGTCACGGCAGGGAACTTTAAGCCTTCCGAGGGAGTTTCTTGAGAAATTACTGTTTTTATTGGCCTTGAGAAGAACTTAGTTAAGCTTAGGGATGCAAGATACACATAGGCCGTTGCAGCCGTGCCAAGAAATATGAACCAGATACCTCGTCTAAAAATGGAATGACTCTTATCGGCGACGTAGCTAAGTCCGTGAAGGGTAGTGTTGGAGGCAAACGCTTCCCATTTACTCGGTTTAGGAGACATGCCTGGCTTTGATTTTTCCTTCCAGTTTTCAGTAAAATTGTTGTCCAACGATTTCACCTGTGTAACCTTGGTAACAAAACACCATCAAACTTTAATTTTCACCTGTTAGTAAAGATAGTATTCTTTTTCTCTTGGAATGGTCGAGGTCGGTGAATTAGGATCGGCTGTGCCTTACACGGAAATTCCCAGGTTGAAACTATATCTCACTTAAATAAATGCGAGAAATATTATTGTTGCTAATCCTGACTAGAATTACGAATCGCAAAAGCTCCTTGAATAAAATGTAATTCTGCCATATAATCATGTTGTTCTCTGCAGCTGTCTAAAACATTGAAGATAAAATGAAATCCATTTAAATGCATATGTGAGTCTAGAACTTTCAAACGCTTTTATCCTAAATTTTATCCCGTTTCTTCGTTATTGATTGGGTAAATTAATTAAAGGTTTCACCTGTCTCAGACATCGCTACTTCTCTTCGATGTTTATGTTCTCCCCACACTGAAAACTGACGGTTTTAGGCGAAAAGTAAACGGTACAATTGTCCGCAAAAAAATGTCTTAACGCGAGTTGTGAACGCAAGAAATGACCACTGGGCGAAATTGTATGTTTTGTTGTGTCCTGTTAGTGGGAGGATAGTAAAGAAAATGAGGACAAAAGCAACTCACCTTCTGAATTGATGACTAAGTGCTTATTTGGAGTAGGCATCTGTAAAGAACTTATTACTGAAGACGTCGAGTTGCGTTGGAATGGCGGAAGATTCCACGATATATTTTAGGAGACACTTTTTTGTTACTTCCAAGAATCACTGCTCAAAAGAAACTCTTTCAATTTCAACACATGTACTGAAAACCATTCGGAATTCAAAACACGTTTGATTCTCCGGTTGGTGGCCTAAACAACCTTTGTTTGCTACTGAGCATAGAGTGCGGTATTTATTCAGTTGCACAACGTGTGGCTTTGGAACCGTTTTTATTTTCAATTAAACCATCAATATGTTCTTTCCTGTTCGGTTTAAATTCTCCCGTCACTGAATACTGGCCGTTGTATGGGGAACGTGTGCCGTATCATTGTCCGCAATAAATGTTTTAGCGCGCGCTGTGAACGATAAAACGACCTTTATGCCAAATCAGACGTTTTTTGTGCTCTTCTATTAGAAGGGTAGCTTTGATTGCCAAAAGGAACTGAAAAAAACAAACAAACAAACAAACAAACGAAATCAACACACCTTTGAAAAGATGAACTTTACTTATTTGGAGGGGGCATCTGTAAAGAACCTATCAAGATGTAAGTTACGTTGGAATGTCAGAATACTGCTCGATATATTTTAGCAGACACTTATTTGTAGCTGTCAAGAATCGCTACTTTTAAAAGAAACTTTTTCAATATTAACACTTAAAATCATTCGGAACTCAAAACACCTTTGGTTCTCCGGTTGGTGGTCTGAACAGCTTTTGTTTGCCTCTGAGCATAGAGTATAGCATTGATTCAGCTGCGCAACGTGTGGCTTTTGGAAAAATTTTAATCATCCACCAAACAAGACGCCGATCAATTTTGAAAAGGAAAGCCTAATTATGGAAAATTTCAAAGTAGAAAATGTTCGAGTAATGAATATACCAACTGAGTACACGTGTGCAACAGCTCTATCATATTTTTATTAATAGTGCACACTTTGCCATAACAAATGCAACGTTTGAATTTCGTATTTTAACAAAAACAAACATTATGCCGATAACCAAAAGCATAATGTTATTTTATCGCGAGGCATTTCCTGTGTCTTATCAGTTTGTGGGTTGTGCTCTAATCTGGTATCCAATCTAATCTGCCCAATGAAAAATGAGCTCGTGTCAAAGTTAAGTACAAAAGGTTGGTTATCTCGTACACGCGGCCCCTTGTACTATTGCCATCATCGCAAGAAGAACTTTTCTGCTCTTTAGCGTTCAGACGTATTTGTTCTTTTTCCCTCCACCTCCCCGGTCACCGACCCGCAGACTATCAATATATCTTATGTAGTATTTTACTTTAGTTTTTACTGGTGGCGAAAGTTTTAACCCCACCTTTCCTGAAGAGATTTTAATCTTTGTTTGTAACCTGAGTTTCAATTAAACTCGTCACATTTGCGGCCATTTATCCCAAACGATTCGTTTCTATTGTCGTCTACCTATCTCTCCAGCAAACTAGTGCGACGCCTTGCGGAGCTCTCGATGTCTTAATGTTTGCGAATGACTCAAGATAAAATGTTATTTATTATGTGCGGATTACTAAGCTGATTCAATTTACAGTATTGATTACTCCGTGTTCATTCAATTAACCCATTATCGGGAAAATTTTGATGAAATGCGCTGGATCATTTTAACGCTGCTTTTTTTTTCCAAACTATGATCACTAGCAAATTACACTGTGTAAGATATTTGCTTCATCCTTGAAATAGTCTATTTGAAATACTCTATTTAGCTGAGTAAACGCTGGCCGGATCGAGTAGTAAACCATGTGGACTGATATTCTTAAGTGTTATTGCCTGCCTTCTGTGTCATATCAACGGAGCGTTTCCTTAACCTGTACATTACAACTTCCCACAGAAAGTCGATGAACTCGCAAAGCGTCAGTAGACTGCATCCAAGAAACAAGCCCATGTTGCCACCGAACTCACCTGACACAAAACAAACGAGAGAAGTTAAGGAAATTTCAAAACTCCACGCACACTTAGATCCCGTCCACACTACCCCGGAGAAATTTGAAAACAGTGATTTCACTCTGAAAACGCATCAAATGTTTTCCTTCCACACTACGCCGGAAAAATTTGAAAACGAACATTTTGGATTTCTCTTTTAGGAAGACCCGGGCAGGGAAATCACGTGATTATCGTGCATGACACCATCGTTTTCGAAAAGTTCAGCTCCGTTTTCAAAATTTTTTCCGCAAAGCCAGCGTTTTCAAATTCCTCCGGTTTGAAGAGCGTTTTCAAAAACCTCCAGTTTCGTGACGGATTATAGTGCAGCGGTTGGCCTAACCGTAGAAATAAAGCTACGTTTACAAATTTCTCTGGCGTAGTGTGCATGGGGCCTGAATCATTTGCCATCAGCCGTATCAGCTAACTTCCTCTGTCCATGCGCTTTAATAATTCTATTTTCCTTACCAAAGAGGCTCTCTGCTTGATAACTAGGGACATCCTCACGAACTTCGTAGGCCAAATGTTGGTATCCCACTTGAATAAAAACGTAGTTCTCTCTGTAAAATTAAAACCAACAGTTTACTTATGAAGTTGTGAATAATGTATAACAAATAAAGCCAAACCCATTCAATATAGTTAACCATCATTTAAGAAATAGAAAACGTGTGCCGTGTTTCTATTAAGTTTAAGTATAAATCTACTAGCGTTCTATCACGAATGCCGCTCTCTGATTGACTACGCTACTCACCATCTATTTAAACAATAGAGTGTTTCTGTCGAGGAACTATCGGCTGATAGTTGTCCCGCGGAAATTTGATGTTCTTAAAACAAATATTTGCCCGAGAAGC